CAATTCACATACAAACAAGCAAACAGTAATTCATGCCAAACAGACAACATACAGTATTAGTTTTTCAGTCATTCAACCCATGATTAATAAAAACGTAGTATATGCACACAAATCTGTAAAATGAACACATCAAAACCTCATTTTGCATTTAAAGCTGTAAACAGGCCAAATAACAGTAAATCACCAATCACACTAGACTCGGGCTCCATTAGCCACCTTAAGCAATTTCACACATTCGTTAATTCAAGAAATACCGTTTTATCATTTTGAACTTTAATACCGTGATAGGAAATAGGGTGAGGGGTCCTTACTTGTTTTTCGGGATCCGAATACGATTCACAGTGCGCCTGCAGGCCGTCCCTAATTTTCCCTGAATTTTTTCCGGGGAACTGAAACACACTAACAGTACCTGCACGTGTTCCAAAAAAAATCCAAATTAGGCTCAGGGTCTCTTTCGGCCCAAATCGCAACTCCGGCACGGCGGCTCCGCCGTGCTCCGGCGACGGCGCCGCCGCTGGCGGCGGCGAGTCGCCTCAGGTTTGCTGTTTTCGGCCGTTTTCGGCCGAATTCGGCCACACTCGCATTGGTCCTTGTCAGAAAACAACCCTAGGGCCCTCGGGGGGCCAAAAAATCACGGAAAAGCGGAGCTTACCGGCGGCGGCGCTCTCGGGTACGGCGGCTCTCCGGCGAGGTTCGTGTTTTGGTGATTCGGCTTCGGTCAACCTGTAGAGAAAAGAATGGTGATCACGGTGATATAAAAATTGCATCGAACGGAGGCCGGGAAGGACCTCGTCGGAGGCAAAAACCGAGAGGGGGCGCGGCGGCGCCGCTGGGTTTCGGCCGCGTATTCCGGCCGTTTGGCCGGGATTTCGGCCTCAATTTGGCCATAGGAGGAATCAGCGGAGAAAAACGAGTCGGGGGTATGAAATTTACCTCGATCGGCGGTCGGAAATTTCCCCGGTGCGGCGGCGGGTGGCGGTGGTCGGCCTCTGGTTCGTCTTCTCCGGCGAGCGGCGGGCGGCTAGGGTTTGTGGTCTGGTGTGGGGGTTCTATTTATAACCCCTTGCCTTTTGATCACAGCCGTTCATTTCGTTTTAATCTGGGCTGTTCGTTTTTTATTGAATCTGGGCCGTCCGATCGCGCGATTGATCTGGGCCGTCGGATCGCACCCACGCGGATCGCCAACGTGGCTGCTTTCGGAGTGACGCGGTCTTGCCACGTGGCAGGCCCCGGTTGGCCGGGACTGCTGACCGGGCCTGCTGACGTGGCCCCCCCCTTTCTTTTTTTTTTTTTTTTTTTTTTTTTTTCCCGGGTGCTACAATGATAATGCACTAATTGATGCGTATGGGTCAAATGGTTCGTTAGTTGAAGCTATAGATGTATTGCGTCAAATGGAGCAAGATGGTAGTGAATCAAACATCTGTCTTGATATGCACTCTCATGGCTGCCTGTGGCTGTTGTCGTCAAAAGGTGAAGGTTAAAACTGTTTTTTTCTACAGCAGAGTTACAAGGCATAAAACTGAACATGGTTGTTTTTTAATTCAGCTATTAGGAGCTCTCATGAATGTGGGTGAATTTGAAAAACCTTTAAATTTGTTCAGGAGTCTGAGAAAAAAGAAAGTCATGCTTGGCTCTCTTACTCGTACCACGCTGATAAGTGGTTGCTGTAATTTGTCAAAATATGGTGAAGCACTTGTTTTGGTCAAATGCAGAGGCAGGATAGTGTTCAACATGATGAAGATGACGGGTTGTAATCCTGACGTTTCTTCATATGCTACAATGCCTGCATGCTTAGAGTTTTGGGGTGAGATTTTAGGTTAAACTGTTGAGATGATAATAATTATTTATGATAATATAAAAATTCGGAGAAAAGTTGTTCTCATTTAAATTTATGAACAAATGAATTGTTGTAATTTTATTAAGGTTAAATAAAATAAATTAACTGTTACTTATTAAAATTATTAAGATAGTAGTATTTGTTTTAACTTTCAAAATCAATAAAGAGAGAAAATTAAAACTTATTTAACTGAACCATAGTATATTCCTCTTTAACTAGCGTGTTCCGTCTCTCTCCATGATTATTGGACTGTAAAATGACTACAAAAACTTGAATGAAATTCCAACTTAACGTCATACGGAAAGGGCAATTGTGCCTTGGTCGGAAACTTTTGGAGCTTGACGTCTAAATGGCAGAACCTCTTCTCGAGTGGGTCATATAGATTACTCTAATGGGGTCCTTAAAAAAAGTTTTTGAGTAAACTATTTTATGTTTGCGTATTACATTTATAGTGGTCTGGTCTGTAAAGCTATAATATCGGCATGTGTCACTCTTGGAATACATATGTAATAAATTATCTACGTATTTTTTGAACTATTAGTAGGAATTTATTTCTTGAAAGTGGCGCTTCCCTTCTAATCCTACCCTTGAGTTTTGCTTTCAGCAAAATCCTGAACACAAAGAAAGGCAAAAATATTTTTCCATACGTTGAGTACCAAGTTATTATATGCAATGGACAGGAAGTGCGTTGGCAAGCTTGTAACAATTTCGTTCCTTGTGCAAACTTTTGTTTTTCTAAAACCGACTCTCTTCTGTGGGTATGTGCAGCAGAATCCTTGAGAAGGAGATCGGTAATGAAACTTTGAGATGGGTAAGTTTCTTCCAAATGGGTAGATGCAGACACCTGGCTATAGACCCATGATAAAAGATGGATGGGCAGATGATGTATCTTCTGCTACTAAAATCCTTCTTCTTACCTCTTTTAAATTATATTAAACCCAAATATCAACATCAATAGTCATAAAATTAAGATATAATTTCATTATTATGGTGATACTAAGTTGAGTTTAATCTCCTCTTAATACTACGATTAAGAGCTGAAATTAAATATAACATTTCAAATTAAAAAAACAAATAATAATGTAGTTAATAATAAGATCATATATGAAAATACCATAAAACAAACAATTCATTTAACCCACTCCAATAAGGGATTTAATTTCCTACTTTTTATTTATTTATTTTTTTATTATCCCTTTTTATGTTTGATAAATGTCAACAATTTTTTTTTTTTAATTACATTATTACGTTATAACTTAAATAACATTTTCATCATATTTAATTTGATCTAATTATAATTTAATTTTTATAAAATAATGACAGATAAATTAACAGTTTTTACAGATACTAAAAGATTGAATAATCACAAAGTACAAATTATTTTAAACAGATTACAAAAAGCAAACTATTACTTCTTTTTCCTTGGTGATAAAGAGTTAAAATTTTATATTTATATAATATTGAAAATATTTATGTGATTTTTTTTTTTTAAATCCAAGAGAATATAATATCCTCTCTCTCTCTCTCTCTCTCCCTTCGTACTTCATCGACCGCCGAAATGGCTACTGTAGCTCCTCCAGCTCTCCTCAAACCCCTTATCCCCTCCGAGTCAACTCGGCCAAACACAGAATCCACTCGCAGAACGTTAATCATCTGCAAAAACCACAACAACACTGCCGCATTCGAAGAGAAAAAGTCAGTGCTGGTTGACTACGACAAGGGTCAGCACGAGGTCTCCACTCGTGTGAGTGGACTCAGGAAAGCTGAGATTCCAAGACGGTACCGGTTACGCGTTCAGGGACACCGTTTCCAGATGGACTGGACGATCTCTGAGGTAGTAGAAAGACTAATGGAGCTCAACCATTGGGAGGATGTAGAAGCCGTCTTGAATCGCTGGATTGGGCGTTTCGCTAGAAAGAATTTTCCTATTCTAATTAGGGTA